CTCAATATGCCTTCCTTCTGATACTATTGGATCTTTTCTTTTCCAAAATGTGTCTACATGTTTCCAGCTAGCTTCACTATTAAGTAGACTTTTCCGCTTCATGAGGAACTTATAGTTTGGTACCCCTCTTCGACAATTGATCTGATCAACAAACTTTTCATCCACTTTCTTATCTAAAAAAGTGATTACTGTCATTGATGCTTAGTTAGGGTTTTCTTTTTATGGAACTTGTTTTTACTCCAGATGTCTTCTTTTCTTGGTCATCCACTTCTTTGTCCTTATTGTAGTCTTAAGCAGTGGTGCTCGGACCAACTTCTTTTGTTTACTCCCAGACTTAGCTAACTTTAAAGCAAGGTTTTTTTTCTCTCATAACTGGTTGTAAAGAAGAGGGGTGTCGTGTAGTGAGAGTTCAAGGTTGACGGCTCAACCCCTGGCTTCAACCTAATCTATTGGTTTATCTCCCTTCTAGATGGTAACTCCTTTGGTAAATCTGTAAGTAAGACATTTTTGAACTCATCAATTTCTGTTACTACCTCACTTGGTGCGTCTTCTTGGGGTTTTGGTTTGTCATCATTTGCGCCATGAATAATGGATAAGTAGCTTTCCTCCTCTTGTCGGATATCCTTTTTGGATTGGATGTTTGATAGCATCACAACTTGTTGCTTGTTAGTTCTTATTGTGGTGCCAGACAAGCTTGATTGCCTTTCATAATGGAAGTGATATTGGCGAATGATATTGAGAATGCCTTTACTTGATCCAAGAAATCTAGCCCTAGGATAATTTTAAATTCATCCATTGAAATGACAAAGAAGTCCAATGTTTCAGACCAAGTTCCGGCATTGGTCTTTACTTAGGCTATTTCATAAATTGGCCTTACTGTTGAATTGACTACTTTGATGGTGCTTGCTCTTCCAATTGCCTGTAGTCCTATCATTTGTGCTTCTGCAATGGAGACGAAGTTGTGAGAAGCTCTTGTGTCCAGCATCGCTTTAGTAGTCTTCTCATCTATCACCATCTCTACAAAGAATAACCCATTTTCTTGGAGTTTTGGGGAAGAATGCATCAAATTGAGCAGTTGCATAGATCCTACCTGTGCTGCCATATTGTTTCCTGTTATTTCTTCATATTCATAATGGCTTGTAAGAAGAGAGTTCAAGGCATTCTTTTGAAGAAAATCCCTTGCCCAATGAGGGCCATCACAAAAGAAGCAATTGTTATGTGGTTTGATTTTGTTATCCTTTTACTTTTCCTCATCTTTGCCCTTGGAGGATGATTCTTAGCTAGTCTCTTTCTTTTGTTGCCCCTTAACTCTCTCATCTTTGACATAGGCGCTCGTCTCTTCCCTTGGCTTTATGGACATCTTTGCATAGTCAATCTAGCTCTCAACGACGATGATGAAGATAGTGAGATCTTGCACTTTGCGCCTTCTAAGCTCCGTCTTTGCCTACGATTGAAGTCCATCCATGAATTTAAAGTGAGCATCATTGTTTGACATGTCAGGGATTTTAAAGACCAAACTAGTGAAGTCATTAATATACTTCCGAATTGATCCTACTTGTTTAGGCCTCCGTAATCGGGGTCTAGCCTCGTCCTTTGTATTTTCAAGATAAAATTGTCGTGCGTGTACTTTTCTCCATGTCTCCTCGTCTTCTTCTCCACTACAACATGGCGGTGTCGGAGAAATAAAAAACTGCAAATTGGATCTTTGCGTCTTCATCTGTAATGCTCATGGCTTCAAAGTGTTGTTCAAGTCCCCATAAAAAGTGGTCTTCTTCTTTGGCGTTTAGAACTTCTCCAAAACTTTTAGGCTTTGACACTTCGATCCGCTTGGCTTCGAATATATGGTTGTTGGTTGATGTCGCTAGTGCTCTCTTGCATATTGATATATATTCCCGCATCTCCTCCAAGTTGGCTTGTAGGTTGTTCATCTCTTCTTCATGAAATTGTTGCATATAATGGAGCTCCCCCATTAGGTCTTCTTGCATCCTCGCATTTTGTCTCTTAAGGATTTCTGCAGCTGGAGCATCATGTCTCTGATCGTGGAATGGTTGGTAATGTTCTCCTCAAGGTCATCCACCATTTCGCTTAAATCCTCTATCTAGGCCTTCATACCATTCGTAGCCTTCACCCGAGCAAGGCGCGAATTAAAGCCATGAATGATCTCCTTAGACCTCCCATGTGATTTAGATGTAGCAGGATTTTGTTGATTCTCACAACCTCGTTCTTGTTGAGATGATTCCACATTTGTGGCCTCAGACTCCATGAATTGCTCTTTGACACTCTTTGACATGCCTTTAACCTTGATTCTGATGCCAACTGTCATGAAAAAATTTATCTCAAGTCACCCGTGCGGCCTTAGTATTTTTTCTAAGCGCTAAATCAGCCTAATTCTTGCAGTGCTTGGACTTGAAAATACAAAAATCCTTTGAGAAATAAGTGAGGAGAGGTTATTAAAAGATAGGAACACTTCACCATTCTTGCAGTGCTTGGACTTGAAAATACAAAAATCTTTTGAGAAATAAGTGAGGAGAGGTTATTAAAAGAAAGGAACACTTCACTAAGGAGTGAATGTTTACACCCTTGTTATTTGAAAACTTTTGGATGTTCAGATGTGGCGGAGGGACTTGTATTTATAATCATCTCTCTAGTCCTAGAGAACTTTTTATATTACATTAGAATAAATTTATCTTCTAAATAGTTTTATATTCTTTACATATACATGATTCTAGAGCATTCCAAAATATCTTAGAGTTATCTTGAAGCTTTGCTCTTTTAGCGTATATTGTAGAATCCAACAACCTTCTAGAGTTCTTTAGATTATTCTCCTTTTTGGTTTTTTCTGGAATCTTCTTTCCTATGACTAAAGGGGTGTGGCTAACCCTTTCTTGAGATAGGGGTACGTGAAAATGAGGTGACAAAAGGTGGATTGTAGCAAACCATCAAAATCTTAGGATTCTTCAAGGAGGGAGATGACTGAGCAAAAATAGGGAGTGAAGATGAGTAGCCTAAATCAGGTGAGGAGATGGCGTAAAAAAAATGTAAAATGAGAAAATAGAGTGCCATTTGGAAGGGAGAGTGGAGGTTGGAGAATAAAATTAAAAGGTGGTTCATAACCCTACAAAATTCTACAAATGCCAAAGGCAACATGCATCAGCATGGGAAGCCACAGTAGACGTGGTCAATCATTGTGCTCATCTTGGTGATGGTCAAAACCACAAGTTCGAAAAGTCAAATGGAAAGCCTCATGTAGAAGCTTGAGGCCTGAATCAGGCACGCTAAAAAACTAGTAGACATGTGGATAAGCACAAGGTGCAAATCAAGTGTGCATTATTTTTGATGTAAAACTGACCATTCTAGTGAGCATGAGGGTAGAGGAGGACAAGCTTTCTTATGGGAGCAGAAGGATTTAGGAATCTGGGGCTCAGGCATCTACTTGCTAGAGGAGCACAAATGCATTTAACATCAACTATTCTGTTCTTTTAGTTTTTGCCATTAGAATTTTTATTGAAGTGGCCAAATCATTATTGCTACCTATTCATTCTTATTAGAAACTTTGACCTTTTTGGAGTTGTGTTAGGAGCTTATACTGACTACTATGGGCGGACCCATGTACGGTAGAGGGAGCCAATTGCTCTCGCTCAAATTCATATTCAACTTATATGGGAGGGCAATTTGGTCTTTTACCTCTCCTGAAATATCAATTTTGTTCCTATTGAAATATTATTTTTCCCTACGTTTTCTAGTAAATAAAGGGGCTGATTTCGCCCCTGATAACTAAATATACTTGGTTCAAACGATTGTGCCAAAAAGCTGATGACCGGTCCATGCTTGACCCATTGCTATTCCCATTAATTGAAGCAATTGAATGGTACTTGAGATCTTACGTGCATGCTTGTTGCTTTGTAAATGATAATTATAACCTTTCCAAATTATTGTAGCGACTGAACAAGTTGTAATCATCGTTAATAATTTGTATTTTTTTCTTTTTATTGGTAAATTTTTGGTAATTTGGCCGTGTGCTTCAAGGTTCGCTTAAGATTTATACATTAGATATTTTAATAAATTTAAATTTTAGATCTTTATTGACTTAAATTTGTTTTCTTTTTCCATTTTGTCCTGGAGCTTAGCAGCACAATAAGAATCCCCATGTTCACTGATGGGTTTCTGTTTAGAAAATTGCAAATGTGGGAATTTAATTAACTCGCAACTTATGTTTAACCTAAAATTAAGTTTGCAAGATGGTATCTTGACAACTGAAAGTGTAAATACTGGTTTTGTTAACTGTTGTGAATTTCAACAGGATCAAATGTAGGTGTTACACTTGTCAGCATTTAATTTTTACTTTCCAGCATTTCATTCCTTCCTATTAATATCATTTAGTCATCCATATAGACTGTTTTTAAAGTCATGTGATTTATAACAATTCTCTATAAAATGGGGAAATGTAAATTTTTTTTTTTTGTTGGTAAAGCAGGTGCAAGCCTGTAATTTTTATTTTTATTTTTAGTGGTAAAGCAGCTTCCATGGAACCAAGTTTACTAGGGGCATTTTTTTTGAAAGTAATATAGAGTAAAAGCCGTTTTAGTATTTCATGTTTGTAAAGTCTAATGTGCTACTTTTCAGAATTATCCTAATTTAGATTGGTAATTCAAGCTTTAATAATTATTAAAAATTTGATATGGAATTAGTTGTTTGAACAGTGCCCATTTATATATTGAGAAATTTACATACACATAACTCACACCTAAACTTTCACACACATATAGCACTCTGGTATTTTATACCCACACATGAAAAGGTGTATTCACTTTTAAAAAGTGATAATAGTGCTATTTTTGATGTAATATTAAAGATTTTAGTGCTGTGTGTAAATATAAAAGAAAAGTTAGGTGTGAGATATGTAAATATATAAGAATTGTGTGCTTTGTATGTTGATGCCTCTTATAAATTTAGATGAGCCATCCCATTTATTGATTCTCCGTGTTTGTTCTTTTGATTAGGCTGTGAGCAATCAAGCATCTGGTTCCGGCCGAGCTAGAAGGGATGCTGCTGCACGTGCCATGCAGGGTTGGCACTCTCAAAGGATGCTTGGTAATGGTGAAGTTGGGGATCCAATTATAAAGGTTTTTTTAAGTTTTTAATGGAGTTCAATCTTGTGATAAGGTTGCATTTCGTATGGATGCTGTTAGCTCTGCTGCAATATTTCATTGTGTTCTTCTTTTGCAGGATAAGGGCTCAGTTTCTCTTTTCAAGAAGGATAAACACCTCAAGTCCATTGGTAATTCTTATTTGAACTTCTTATATCTGCTTTTGAAATCATATCAGCTTCTAATTGTTGCTGATCTTTTCTTTATATTTGATTTAAGGTCAAACACTAAAGAGGAAGAAGTCGTCTAGCCTTGTTAAAGCTGCACGCACAAAAAGTCTCAAACCTCAGTTAAGATCTTTCCGTTTACAAAATTTATAGTTGTTGTTTTGATGATGGTCATGTAAAATCTTGCTCATTTTATCACTGTCAAATACTTTAGGGAAGTTGGCGATTTTTATAGGCTGCCTTGTGTTATTTTAGGACATTTTGAAAAGGAAAAAAAAATACTCCTTTAGATCGATAAATAATAATCTAATACAAGGATATATATAAAGGATATTCACCCTCAATTTTTTGACTTGGATCAATCGTTGTGCTTGTTGGGCTATTATAAATCATATCTGCCTTTTTAAGATCAGGTATATACAAAAACAATTTCTTTCCTTGATTTTTTTAATCTCCATGGTAAGAAAATACATAGGGATTTAAATCCTTGATTTGAAATGTGAGGAAAGGAATGTTTTTAGCTTATGTGTTTCAAGGACATTATTTCCGGTTAAAATTATATCCTCCATGCATACAATTAGCACGGCTATGTTCCCATCTTATGAATGTTTTTAAAAAAGTAATATGATTGGCCTGCCCTCGAGTGTACCCTTAATTCTTGAGAGAGTGAATTTTTAAACTATGCCTTTGGACATTTGCTATTGCCTCACACAAGACTTTCTTATATTAACATTATTTACTGTCAAGGATTTTACCCAATCATAGGGGCACATTCATATAAAACTTCTCCAAGTCTCCATTCAATCAAAATTAGCAGCAAATGATAAGAGAATTTTTATTTTTTTTATTTTTAATTTTGCAACGGGAGAAAATGCTTGTAGACTGTCAATACCATATTTTTTAGTGAATTTCTTCGCATCCAATCTAGCTTGTTTTTTTTTCAATGGATTCATCAGCTTTATATTTGATAGTGAGTATCCATATGCACCTTATAGTTTTCTTCTCTTGTGGCATATTCTAAATTTTCATGTTTTATTTTTTTTAAAAGTTCTCATCTCTTTATAAATAGCTTTCTTTTATATAAAAATTTTAGATCATTGTACACAATATTTGGAATCTCTATACACAATAGTTGCGAGATAAAAGCTTGAAAAGAAGGTGAGAGGTGTTCATGGGTTATATATATGATAAACGGTGTTTAGTGAAGGGATAATCATATTGTCAGGATACAATGGGAAGGCTATAACAGTTATTTGGCTTAATTTTTTGGTTGGGAACTCAATACTTAAAGAGGAAGGTTTGATGGATATATTACTTGACAGGTGTATGGATTCTGGGTAGTGCGAGGGTTTGTCAAGCTCAATCTGTTGAGTTTCTTATTTCTTGGAATAGTCAATATCACATGGTTACAGCGTAATAGATTATTGGATGGCCTTCATGATGTCATGATCATTATGAGATTGCACTATGGGAAGATTTATATTCTCAATATTTAAAACACCTAATCCCTTGCTTTCAATCATAAAAGAAGTTAGAATTGGAGATGAAACATTTTTAGTTTAGAGGATTTATGTAAATTTTGGACAGTTTCCCCTTTACTCTTTAATGAGAGATGACATATTATTGATGTTCAAAAAAGATTACATTCATGGAAGCAAAACCTCTTTTTGGAGGAGGTTCATAGGATTTATATCCTCTATGATTTTGAGAACAAGGAGAACACTTTTTTGCTTTGGTTCTATTTTTTTAAGGATTATGTAAATAAAGACAACACGACCAAATATATTTAGGGTTGTTTAAATGAGAGCTTTTTTGAAGGGTAAATTTAAGACGCAAGAGCGATGGTACCACACGATTTCGCAGGATCGTGGAATCCCATGATTCCTTAGTATTGCGAGAAATCTCTCCATCGTGGATGATTCGCCTAGCTAACAATTTTAGCTGATACTTTTCCTCTTTGGCTTATGTTCTATTTATTTATTTCTATTTAGGTTTATTTTTTATTAGGAGATTTTCTTATATTTTGTATTTTAACTGTTCTGAGACATTAGTGTGGTTTTATATATTTTGAGAGTTATTCCTGATTTTTTGCTATTTGGTCTGTTGTATCTTGCTCAGTAACATGTGGTGGATCCTTCTTACCATTTATATCCCACTGTTTTGCTAGTCGACGTCCTTTATTTCAAACCAGACAACTGTCAACATTCCATATCTATTTCCAAACAATGCCGATATCCCATATTTTCACTTTCTTGCTATTCCACAACCACTTTCTCTCTATATCCCCTTTCTAAACACCTTCTAGGAGCCTTAAAACGGTGTCAAGGTGTTTCAAAATTTAGCATTCTATTTGGGGATTCTTTTTGGGCTCTTCTGTGCAGTATGAATTGCTTTATTTCAATGCATTTAGCTACCTTATTAGTAAAGCGGAAAGCTCTCTGAACTTTTTATAGGTGTTTGTTTTTTTATATGGCCGCCGGGGTGTCAATACATGAAATTTAATGGTTTAACCCTCTTCAAGAAAGTAGCGACTCCAATAAATTTTGAAGTACTCATGACCATTATCACTCTATAAATTTTCAATATTAATTTTTAATTTTATTTGCACCATGGTGTAGAGGTCTTTGATTTCCCACTTTTGATTCTTCTTTAATCACATCCAATCGTTTGAATGCGATTGTCAATAGAAGTGATGAGCTGTTTTTTACCAGAGAGGTTAGTAGTCTGAAAAGGTTGCTAAATATCATTATGAATCATGGTAGGAATGGTAGCTTTGTAGGATTATGGAGAATAATACACACAATGATGTTTGACATTTGACAAACTACACATTGAAAAACAATAGAATTTTTATTCTGAAATAGACTTGAAAGCAAGCCTTGGAAATACCAAAGAATGATTTATCACTTTTATTGGAGTCAAAGGTTAAGCAATGGATCTTAGAATGGTTTATCCTCAAAGTGGTGTAGCCATTTCTTTTCCCTAGCATTGCCAATCATCTTTTTGAGACCTTTTTTGAAAAATCATAATGAAGAATAAAAATTAGCTTGATAGTGATGATTAAAGGTGATTTTATCAATGGATAATAAATTGCAAGGCAATTTGGAGCATGAAGAACATCATGAAGAGTTAACAAAGGAGTGAATTTGACTGGTTTTATCCCATCAAAAAGTTAGAGAGAGTCTTCAGTAAGTTTGACCATTTTATTATATGAGAAGAATAGTTTAAAGAAACTACTCATAGAATTTGTTGCATTTGAGTGGAATGATCCACTAATGAAATGGCTTAGAATTGACGTTAAAACATGCAATTTTGGATAATTATCTTTATTAGCCAAAGAGGAGGATGGGGCTATAAAGAAAATTGAAAATTGAAATAATTTGTATGGGTATTCCAATTATTTCTTACTGAAAGGGACTATTTTTTATTTGACGGAAGGCTCCTCATATATACAGTAGATTTTTTATAGGGGACGTTTGGACTTGGGCTTCCAATTTGCAAGTTTATTGTAAAGTTTCCAACAAGATTCCTTTGTATGTCATGGTTTCATGTTGTTAATTTTATTCTATTGTTGCTTTTAGAGTCAATACCGTTGGATATCAGGGATGAGTTCTCAATTTCTGGAATGGAGATGCTTCCCTTGTTATGTAGCACGGCTTTCCCCATGCTTCCTTATTTCATACTTCTGAGAAAACTTCTCAAACTGAAGGCAAGAGTTTTCCGCAAGATTGTGTTCTCCTACTTCATCTAAATCTTGATTGATGATGCAAGACATGTGTAAACTTATATTGTCTTCTTTTTTCTTGTGAGGCTCACAGAATTGTATATTTCCCAAACAATTATCATAGCATTGTTCAAGCTCTTGCAATAATATCACAAATTCATTGCAAAATGTGGTGACATCATGATCCTTTTGTTTGGATTGCCAATGTCGAGTTTTTAACTCTAATATTTTGGAGGGTTTTTTAAGATCTGAGTACAAGTTGTGTGCTACTTCACATACATCTCGGGCAGTGGACAGGATATGGCGTGGCTTTCCAATGACTAGGTCTATTGAGTTGGTGAGCCACACATTGACAAGGGAATTCTGGAATAGCCATTTTTTCAGGGAATGATCACTTGTAGCAGTTCTTATTATTTCACAAGTCAAGTATCCAATTTCTTTTGAACTGTCAACAGCTATTATTATAGTTTGAGCTCACTCCCCAAGTTGTGATGTGCAGGGAAGTGGTTTGCACAATGAAGCCCATGTTAGTAGGGTTATCGACACCATAGGCGTTGGGTTGTAGGTTCTGAAACGATCTGTTGGGTATTTGCCATCAGTCATAGTAGCCTTGTAGGATACGAAGAAAGAAGTATTGCAATCTACAACTTCTGTGACTTTGCGGAATGGACATAGATTTATGCCATCCATGAAAGAGACAAGCCCAGTAGCTCTTTGTGAGGTGGTCTTGGGCTTAATGGCAACCCTGCGTCACAGAACAATAGGATGACTGAGGTTTCAGATGAATGATCATCCTCATGTCTCAATGCGATTGAAAACGAAATGGGCAAAAAATCTTAGAACTGAACATATGGAAACCGTGAAAAGAGACTTGTCTAACACATCTTTTGTGAAGAGAATGAAGCCAAATGATCTTGTAAAAATAGGTTGAGAGAAAAAAAAAACTATATGCTGGTCTCATATCGCATGCCGTAGTGAGGAAATCGAGGAAAATGAGGCTGTAGCTCTAATAGCATGTTGTTTTTGGTATTCCTGAAAAATTTTTCATTCACACAACAATAATTTAATACAAGGGTGTAATTAGATGGTATTTATTACAGAATCAAACCATGATCTTTCTAATTTAAAACAATAGGAATAAAATAATACATCACTAAATCTATCTACTCAAATATAATTTATTTATTACAAATTAATTATATGTTAATTAACTTCTATTATTCTGACTCTTGAAAGCCACTCACATAATTTGCTAGCTTTTATTGCACTATTGATAAGATTAATTAAATTTTGGTAGGCTAATATTTAGATTTCTGATTTGGAATTATAAGGTTTTTGAGAAATCAGCGGAATATTTTATTGATATGAAAAAAGAGGTAGAAATACATCTTACATGAGTTCTCATATAGAAAAGATATGAAAAAGGTAATAGCTGGAAAGGGAAGACATAACACCTATAGTACAATCAATCAATTCCTAATAATTATTTGGTGATAAAAAGAAAATGATAAATTAGGAAAGGAAATGAATTTAACCCTCATAACTGCTAACAGAGTATATTGTCCTTGAGTGGCTAGCTTAGGAGGGGAGATGTCATTGAGTCGAATCAGTGAGGGTAAATTCTTAATTAATGGAGAGGTTTCTTATGGGTCATCATTAAGTCTTTATTTCACTTTTCCCTAAAGATTTCAGGGAGGAGAATTTTATGCCAATGTTTGGTGGAACAATTAACGTGAAGTGTCCTTGACAAAATAGTAGTGGGGAAAATATCGTCCGAGGTGTATGACTTCAGATGTAACTAAAGCTCGGTATGAGGTGCATGAAAAATACTTTGTAGTTTGCGCCTTATTGTAGCGAAGCTTATGCATTTTTTATTTGAAGCATGTGCCTAGGCATTTGAGACATGCACTTGAAATCATTTTTTAGAACACGTTGAATCATGATTGAACATGATTTGAACCATGGTCGAATATGGTTCATGTATTGTTTGATTAAGTGTTTGAGCATAATTTTAACCATGTTCAATCATGCATTGTTGTGCCAAACCTTGAAGCCATAATCCTTGAACCCATGACTTCTTCGATTTAAGAGTTTATGAAGTAAGTTTCAATGAATCATTTTTATTGAAGTTTTCATCAGATATTGTCAAAAGCTCCAAAAAATTTTAATCCGTCCACATAGAATAATAACTTCACAGTGGCGTTCATAAGTTTTTTGAAATAGAACTCGAAAGCCACTTCTAGAGTGCTACTTGAGTTGTTTTGTTGTATAACAAGCAGAGGTATATGATACTCTTCATAAAATAATCCCGTCAGCACTTTTAAAGTGAATTGATCAATTAGTTCTGATGCTTTATTAAAGTACATAATAGATTAGATTGTGTGGGAAATAATGAAAGATTTGTACCATCAGCACTTTTTAAAAGTTATAGTTGTGGTATTTTTGATGTGATATTAAAGATTTGGGTGATACAAATGTAAAAAGTTAAGTTTAGGTATTAGTATGTAAATACATAAGAATTGGGTGGTACGTATGTAAATGCCCAATTTTGTGTTCTAGGATATAATATGTATAATAAGCTATTTGTGATACATACTTCAAATGTTTTAAGTTGTGTTATATTTTAATTATTTATCTGTTTATATAAGATTGGGTGTTTTCTTGACAGAGTGGACTCCATTATTGTTGATGTTGGGGCGCCTGCTGATTGGGTGAAAATAAATGTGCGAAGAACGGTCAGTATATGCGAAACAAATTTGTTCAAGTTTAATTCCTGGAACATTTTTTAAGTGGATCTACAATCTATATGGTGGAACCAAGATGTGGCTGGATGAGATACTGTTCACCCCAAATTTTTTACTAAACACTTCATTATTATATAATAAATTAAAAAAATTGATCCCCTAATGTTAAGTATTTAGTAATAAGTAAATTCTAACTTGATCATATTTATTACAGTTTTAAAAACTTTTAGGAGATTGTAGTTTTAAAGTTCAATTATTTTCACCCTTTGTTTTTTGATTTTGCCACCCATCATTTTAAGGCATTTACATACATACCACCGCATGTTAATCATCCTTTAAATTTTGATTCCGCCACTGTCTAGAATGTAATTAACTTGTGGTTTATATGTGATTTTGCCTTTCTTACAATTTTGCATATGATTGTTAATCTGCAGAAAGATTGCTATGAAGTCTATGCTTTAGTTCCTGGACTCCTTCGCGAAGAGGCAAGGCTTATTTGACTAGATCACAACAATCATTTCCTACTGCTATTGTTATTCGATCTAAAATACTTGAGCTTTAATAAATTCAGGTACACGTTCAGTCAGATCCAGCAGGTCGTTTGATTATTTCGGGCGAACCCGAACAGCCCGATAACCCTTGGGGCGTTACTGCTTTCAAAAAGGTCAGCCTTCATGGCTCTTTCACTTGATTCAGAAACCAACTGCTGCTTCATTTAATTAACACACAGTAACCTTTAACCAGGTGATCACATTACCCTCACGGATTGACCCGCACCAAACATCGGCCGTAGTTACATTGCACGGCCAGTTGTTTGTTCGCGCTCCTTTCGAGCAGTCTGATTCTCGCACCAGCAACCCGTTTTTTTTTTTTTCCGTAGCGGATCCAAGAATAGCTCTCAGATTCACCTATCTGACCTTAAAAACCTGTACAAATCAAAAGAAGTCATAGGATTCTTAGCCTATTGACCATTATTTAGTGTTTTCTAGGACCTGTAATGTTAGTGTAGGTGTAGCAGCAAGATGTTTCTAGTTTGGAATCAGGTTCCATCCAATGTTTTAGTGCTCTGTTCTTCTTCTGTTAGAATTTTTTTTTTTTTTTTTTTTTGTGTCAAGATTATTTTGGTAGTGTTCTGATTCTTACCATACTCTTACATGATCTGGATCTTAATCATGGGAATGACTATTGGAACTTGTATTATATATTATATATTTTTTAAGATTTTTAGTGGACTAAATTGTCAATTTTTTTCAAATGGAAATTTTCAATGATGTTGAATTTTGGAAGATCTTAGGCTTTTTCAGGTATCAGTCTTGTGATGTGTTTGTTGCCTAGCTTTATTTGTTTAGGGTTTGTTTAGGTTATTATTTCATGTAATTGTTATAAAGTGCGGCTTTAGCATGTTTTGTATATCTTAATTACAAGGGGCATTTATATACATACATGCAACACCAAGTATGTATTTACATATCTGACATCTAAACATTCATACTCACTTGCATACCACTCATCTTTGACATCACATCAAGAATATAACCATCACTTGTCTTTCTTCATGCATTGTGTGGTTATGTTAGATATGTAAAGAATTGTGTGGTATGTATGTAATCGTTATTTCAGCTTTAGAAGTGAAATACAAGTCTTTTTGTGCATGGATAAAGTGATGTATATAAAAATTAAAGTTTCATGGTTCGATATGTAAATGCATAGGTAGGGGTGTAAACAAGCCGACCACGAGCGAGCTCGTGCTCGGCTCATTTATATTTCGAGCTCAAAATGTGTGTTCGTCTTTGACTTCAGGAGCCGTTCACGAACAAGGAGTCGTTTTGACAACCCTAATCACGTAGTCACAAAATGTTAAGGATTAAGACAAGATTTAAAATATCATTTGAATCTAATTTAATAATTTTTATTCAATTTTCTTAATTAACACTTTTAATTGATTATAAATCTGGGTAGCCTTGCAGTCAATTAAATTTTTTAAAAATAATACTATCAAAGATATTTATATATATATGTATATACATAATTGATTAGTAGTATTTTGAGCCAAAACAAGCGGAACATGAATAAACGAATATTTGTGTATTGTTCGTGATTAGTAGTATTTTGAGCCAAAACAAGCCGAACATGAATAAACGAATATTTGTGTATTGTTCGTGTTCGGCTTGTTAACTTAGCAAAAGAGCCGAACACGAGGTCAAGGAATTGAGTGGATTGAATGTAAATGCTCTTTTTATTTTTATTTTTTTTTTACAGTGCTCATTAATGCTATGTAATAATGGAAAATTGATGGCAAGAGTGATCCCGTGCAATAATATTAACTTCTTTTAAAATAAAAAAAATACAAATATGTATTAAATATTTTAAAATTAAAATGATATTGCATTATTTTTTTTAATGAATTTGGAAGTTGCTTGTTGGGGAAAGTTATAATAAAAAAATGTATTAACTTGAGTATCTAAAAATTATGGAGGGCCTCTGCATAGGGTTGTAAATGAGTTGAGTTCGAACAATGTCAGGCTTAATCTCTGTTCAATTTGTTTGAAATTAATAATGTTCAAAATTAATTCGTGTTCGAAATTGTTTATGAACAAGTTTGTTTGTGTTCGATTTAATTTACATATTATTGTTTGTATTTGACTTGAAATTAACTCATTTAAATTAATTAAAAAAATAGATGCAGCTTGTTGGATTTGAATTTGCATTACTTTATTGGCCAATAATGTGATAATTGCACAGCCATAGTAGGATTATACACTTCAAGCATTTTCTAATGATAAATTAATCTAAAAAAATATTTAATTTGATTGAATAGATGTATAATGAATTTAAATGATAGAAATGAAATCTAAAGATTTAGGTCGTATTGTGAGTTGATATATATTAATTTATGAGCAAGTTGCATATATTTAATAATAATTATTATTTGTATTAATGAATGAAAGCAATTACACTCAAATGACTTGAAACTTTGCTATTTACAAAATTATCATCCACTTTCAACTATTTTTCAAATTCTCACTCGTATAAAAATTTATAATAAAACTCACATTTTTCTTTTTTATCAGATTCCCAATGGTTTGACTGTGTTATGCATAAATGCATCAATTCAATACAACACAAACATTCATCATAGTGGGGTCAGCTAAATGAATTTTTTTTTTCCATTGCATCCTATTTGAGTGTCATTTTTATTTAATTCTAATAAATTAAGATTATTTTTTATACAATATGCCCAAGTCTTTTTAGGCCAAGTCTTTTTAGGTTTACCTCTGTCTTTCTTGACATAAGTCGATTATAAAACATCTGTTCTCCTAACCGGATCATCAGATAGTCGACGTTTAATGTGACCAAACCAATGTAAGACGACTCTCTAATTTTCTCTGGCACTGGAGTTACAACAACCCTATCACAGATATATTCAGTTCATATTTTGTCTCCAAATGTAAAGCCACTCACCCACCTAAGCATTCTCATCTCAGGAACACTTAGTTTTATGCTTCTCTTTTAAAGGCCAACATTCAGTGTCGTAAATCATTGCATGTCTCACCACCATTTTATAAAATTTTTCTTACAATTTAAGCAGTGTTTTTCTATCACACCATAGGCTTGAAGCATTCCTCCACTTCAACCAACAAACTTGAATTCTATTAATAACATCCCCACCTATCACCATCACTTCGAACAATAGACCTAAGATATCTAAAGCACACGCCTTTTGGTAATCTGATCACACATAGTTACAACTCCATCACTAGAGCTACTACTACTAAAATTGCATTTCATGTGTACAACTTTAGTTCTACTCAAACGAAGACCTTTAAACTCCAATATATACCTCCATAATTTAAGTTTTTCTTAAGTTTTTTCTCTAGTTTTATTCACGAAGGATATCATAAGGATATCATCAGAGAAAAGCATACACTAGGGTGCATCCTCCTATAAATTTCCAATAAGAGCATCCATAACTAAAGCAAGAAAATATGGGCTTAAAGCCGATCTTTGATGTAATCCAACTAAAATAGGAAACTATTTGGTCAATCCTCCTTCTATTTGAATACAAGTCAGATCAACATATTTCTTCTCTAAAACTCTCCAAAGGAAATCTTTATCGTTAGATTTTTCTAAATCAATAAAAACCATATGTAGATCCTCTTTATTCTATGTACTTCTTCATCAAACCTTTCAATAAATGTATAGCTTCCATAGTAAACCTGCCCGGCATAAATCCAAACCGATTATGAGAAATCTTTGTAATGCGTCTTAACCTATTAACCTATGTTCAATTACCCTCTCCCATAATTTTAAAGTGTCACATCAACTTAATTCTTCTATAATTTGCACACTCTTGTGCATCCCCTTTATTCTTAGAAATGGGGATCAAAATACTCTTCCTCCACTAGTTAAGCATCTTTTTAGTTAAGAAAACTTTTAGTAAAAGAAAACTTTTAAAAAAATCATCTGGATACTAGTTTTGTAAATAGCAAACTTATGGATGTAATTATCCCTAAGAAATTTTATAATATCACATATGTACTAAATCTTCAAACATGTAGGTATATATAAATTAGTATGAGAAAAACGGGTAAGAAAATTGAAAGAATTTATGACTTTAATCTTACATTATCTAAAAATTATAAAAAGTTATATACAAAAAAGTTCAAAAAAAAAAAAAAAAAAAACTACATAGAAAACAAACAAAGCTAAAGAATGATTCTAAAATTTAGAATTGACTGGACTGCAAAAATGAAATGTTCTTATTCACAAATGATTCGATCATTTTATATAGAAAGCTGTTGTTAATTAATTATCATATATTGAAAGCTGATATCCAAAGATTATTATATATTAAAAGGTGTTGGACATAGATTCAAGAATATTCTAGACTCTCCTTAAGCTATGTTGAATATATACTCATCCAAGGCCAACTTGTTGATTAGATTATCAAAATTCATTATAGGCAAAGCGTTGGTGAGAATAATTATAGTTTGAGTTTGTTGTCATAATATTTGGCATGAACCTGACTCAACCTCAACTTCGAAAAACCCGAACTAGGAAAACCCAAACCAGACTAGTCTAACTTGTTAGCTATATAAATCATGTAATTTTGTGGATTAGTATGATCAAGTCAACTTGAATTTAACATGTTTCACCAATTAACTCAACCCAAATCTACTTAACCATAACAAGCATAGTAATCAAGGCATATTCACATTATTCAAACCAACTTGACTAGAATAACACTACCTTTTAACCCAAATATGACTAAATAATGATAGGGTCTAGGGTCAACCTAAATGCAGAGTTTTTGATTCGGGGTTGGGTCGAGTTGTCCGGTGAGATCATTTATTAACATTCATACACACTTAACCAAGCATTATTTCACACATTATGAACCATAGCTATGAGAGATATATTTGTCTCTTATCAAATGATCTAACTCTCTTCTTGTTTATGAGCAGCCAAATTTATTACAAACATGATTTTGGAATGAAATGTTGGTAGAAGAATAGTTAATTATCTTTGATGTCTTGTCCTGATAACTAAAACATAATGAGTTATTGTAATCTGCTTTCATTATTGGTTCTCTTTGAACATTTTTAGTCTAATATTTCAACATGAATTTTACATGTTTTGAATCGAAAACTTTCATTTCGAGTTTGATTCGTCAAAATTAGAGTTGATGGCTTCTTGATGGAAAAAATATGATCAAAAGTTGTACAACATAAGCAGATAAACTTTGTAAGAATTAATTGCATAACATAAATGGAATATTGTTATCCACAGATCGTTGGATTACTACAGATGTAATGTTTTTGTCCCAGGAATGACACATATTTGAA